GAACTTAGATTGTACTTTCTCTATCATCTCTATCTTTATATCTCTGTTTCTATCACTATATGTGTGTCACTGTACAGAGTAGATTCTTAATACATGACTGTTAAATTCCGTTAACTGAATTCTCAAGTCTACCAAAATGCAAATAAACACACCTGGCAAGGGTCTTGCATAAGCCCTTACCAACTAACAATTTATGTCAGTTAACTCCCTAGGGAGAATTAGTAGCTGGGGGTAGGCAATCTTAGGGAAGGAAATAAGCCACTGACAAAGGAACTGTGAAGATATCAAGAATTTTAACTTCTCAATTTTACTTAAGGAAAATTCACACCTACTAGGCTGGTTGAAAAGTGAAAAGTTGGTCATAGGATTACAACCGGATACAACCCTAGATTACTAATATAAACCCTCTTGATTTTGCAAATGAAAATATTGAGACCAAAGAAATTAAATAACTTTCCGAAGTGACAGATGGTGTAAATATCAGAGCTGGGACTCAAACTCTGATCTTCTACTATCAAAATTATCAAAATTGATTTCTTTTTCCATCAGACACATAACCTTCCTAAAATTACTAGCTCTGATTTTTTTCTGAATCAACCAGATGTTGAGCACTTAGCACAGTGCCTGGTACATAGTAGGCACTTATTAAATGTTTATTGGATTAGATTATTTTCATGAATTGATGAGTTATTTTGGCATAACATTGTACATCCTTTGTTTTCAAGGAAGACCATTATGATGTTGGGATCAAATAGTGGATGATGGTTGATGATTTGACTTGTGTGTGAGTCGGATTTAAGTGAGGCAGAGTTGTACAAAGTCCTTAGCCTCACTCTCTCTTCCAGAGTCATCAGAGTCCAGTGGCAGGACAAAAAATTAAGATGACTGGCGATGGCTCAGGATGCAGTGAATGACCTTGGCATCTTCAATGTCTGACCAAGCTCTAAGTGCTCCACAGTGCCTGCATCAGTGCCGTCATGGCTGTTGGAATAAATCGTTCTCATATATCCATTCTGCCAGGGGAAGTCTTCACATGCTTGGGGTAGACAACTACCTATTCACTGACAGGTTTGAGGCCTGTTGGTTATCCTCAACTTCTTTTAGCCTGTCTGCCAAGATGGTTTCACTGGGATGTGGTTGCTGTGTATGCTACAGCTTCTTGGAGATACTTGGTGAGAGTTGGGTGACAGGTGGACACCAAAGGTGGATAAGAAGCCCTGAAAAATGTGGATGGGGTGTTTAGGGAGGACTAACACCTTTGGTGTGAGGGCATAATGTAGATATAGCCTAGAATGATGGATATTTAGACTATAAGGTCTTTGTTGAAAAGAAGTCAATCAAGTCCCTTGGTAACATCCTATTCTCTCTCTGTTGTTCAACTATCATATTCAGATTATTGGTCACAGAGTATTTACTAGTCATATTACATTAGGTTATTACATTTACTTTTATTAAAAAATTTCTCTAGCAGTCATGATACGCAAAATTCATTGCATTAAGAGTCTGTTGTGTTGAAACACAGAATCTGACAGATATTTTAAATTTACCAATCTTCATTTCTAGGTGTAAGAAGCAGATCTTTTTCAATGTAGTTGTCTTCTAGAGCATTTGATTTATTTATTTATTTTTGCATATTCAACTTTTTTTTTTTTTAACAAAAAGGACATTGAAAATAGTCCTGTGTATTTTACAACAAAGGAGCTAATGTTTCTTGCTTTTCTGTATTGATTTCCATTTCTTGCAGATAATAGAGTTTAGAGAAGTAGAGATTATTTTAGGGATAGTCCCAGTTGACAAACAGATCTAGGCTCTTAGTATTTTCTTTCCTTACAGTATTTGACTAGGCAGCTTTTATTTATATTTAAGGAGGAATTTCTAAAGCCAAGAAAAATGGGTAGCTGAGAGCTAAGTCCAACGATAATTTTTGTAGGTTTTGTACACCTTTAAGCAAAGAGCAAGTTTTAGAAATTCAGCTTAGTTGGACTATGGCAACTTTGTTTTATCACATGGAAAACCTTGTTATTTGCCCAGTCTTGAGTATTTATCAAGAATTGAGGCTTGTGTAAAGTGATTTATCATCAGCTTGAAGGAGAATTCTCCTTCACAGCTGAGCAATGACCTCTCTCCCCATCCTCATTTATTGATGAGAAGCAGTATTGATGAAGGGCGAAGGATGCTCTTTGATTAAATTGAATAAAGCTTATGTATCTTAATAATAGTAATATCTATTTTGTGGATAAAGAGGTTCCATTCGTTAAAGAAGTCTCTTTGGAAAGCTATAAACTTATTCCATTGATCAAAACAGCTTTGGAACTCATCTTTGGTATCATCTTCAAAGTCTGTTGAGCCACACAACAAAATCTGGCTTCTTTCCTTGTAGTTAACATCTGTTTTTGACCCCAAATGATATTACTCACATTAATCACCCTTATTTCATTCACCAGACTTGGCTTTGAGTATGTTTTGGCTGGCTACAAAATGTTTTGAGTAATGGAAACATCCCTGTAATAAGCAGATAGTTTTCCAAGGTGACTACTATAATAGGAAAACAACAGCTCATTTCGCTGCAGAGATATAATAACAGAACAACTGGAGATTTTCTCCCGGGCACTAAAATTTAGAAGGTAATGGTAGTATTTTCACTCCCTCAGCAAGCTAGATAACTGAGTATGTCATTTAGTTAGTAAGAATAATTTGAATAACAAGTCATCACAGTATGAAGTTATCAGATGGTACACTTCTTTTCCTAGAGGAAACATGGTCCTCATCCTTACCTTATCTTCACCCTGCTCCAACCCCTGCCCAGGAATGGCCTCCCTAGCAGTGCCTTCATGATGTCCTAGGGTCTTTGTTCATGGGGAACTATGTCTCAGAGTTTGTTTTCTTTCCACTAACAGAGGCTTGTGTCCCAGGGTCTCTCTTCACTTTCTTCCATTGAATTTTTCTTAACAAAAACTCATTTGAGGGTACTGATGGACTGATAAGATCACAGAATCATAGATCCAGAGCTGGAAGGGACCTTAGAGGTAATTGAGTCCTATCTCCTAATTTTATAGTTGAGGAAATCCAGGAAGTTGGTGACAAGGTCACATGGATAGTATGCATTGGAGGTGAAATTTCGGCCCAGTTCCTCTGAGTCAAGAACCAGTGCTCTTTCCACTGTACCAGATGTCATGCTAATTAACCTGGCAACTTTTTGTGAAATTTACTCTGGTTGTCAAAATTGCTAGGTATGGTTCTGTTTTCATATGTAAATTGACGTATATTTCTTTATAAAGAATCTGATGCTCACCACTTGTTTATTCTCTGTGACCCATTACAAATAAGAGGATTATCTTGATACCGAATGTTAAATGGAGTGATCAACCCTGTTCATAGCCTATAGCAACTGGGAACCATGGAGAAATTATTTCTGTTTTAATCACTAAAAAGAAACATTTTTTAAATGATTAAAAGGGAAATAATTGTATTACAAATATATTAATGTTTTCTACAGGGTTTTCTCACTGAGATATATTTGTTGCACATCATTTCCTGTTCTGTTTTACAAAAGAATCTATATGTGTTTACCTCTAGTTCCCTGCTTGTTCTCATAAATGAGCTTAGGGTTTCCTAGGCATACTAGGGCAGGGTGAGGGGAAGAGAGATTTAGGTCTTACAACCTTACTGCAGTGCAGGAAAGAGCATGGACAGAAATTTAATATTTCATTTATAAACCATGAAAAGTGAAAAAATGATATAAATTGATGTTGGATCAATAACTTTAAGGTGATGATAACATTTCTGTTTATTGCCTTTCTGACAGGTGAGAAGACTGGCACAGTTTTTTAAGTGGATCTTTCATATTTCCTCTCCCAGACTACTTCAGCAATGCCAGATTTCCAGAAGTAGCCCACTAATTCAAGGGCAGGAGAGAATTAAATTGTGGATCATCTTATTCTTATCCCATGAATAGAGTTAGCTTTTCAGTTATTGACTCATGTAGTTTGCAAATGATACATAAGGATTGTTATCATTACATAAAATATGGTTCTCTAAGTTGTGTAGCCTCCCTCCTGTCTGCATTAGTAATGGCACAATGTCTTGGGCATCTTTCCATATTTCCTATGGACTATTAATATTGTTCAAGGAAGGAAAAATGGGTTGCTTCAAGTAATAATGCTATAAAGCAAACAGGAATTATCCATTGTTGATGGGAGCTAAGAAGTATCTGCATTTAGCACCAAACTAGACCTTGACAAATACAAGGAGATTGCCTTTCTGAGGGTACAAAGCAAATCACTAGCCTTTTCATTTTGATGGAACATGATCAAGAGCTGTTTTTGAATTCACTACATGGCATATTTGGCACATGAGATTACTGATAAAGTATGTTTAAGATCTTTGCACGAAGTTGGCAACAGTGGTAACAGAATCCTGGAGTAAGAAGGGAAATTCTAAATTATCCAGTAGAACTGACTGTCTGATCATGAATCCTTTTTACAACTTCTTTGATAAGTGGTCATCTAGATACTCTTTGAATATCTCCAATTGTGGGAATGCACTACCTTACAAAGCAAACAATACATTCTATTTTTTTGTACATTTATAACTTGTAGGAAGTTCTTTATACTTAGATGCATTTTGCCTCCTTGTAACTTCTACCCATTAGTCCTAGTTCTCCTCTCTTGAGTCAAGCAGAATGTCCTATAGTTTATCTTATATTCTGTACATAATTATTCATGCTGTCTCTTTAATGGATTGTAGGTTACTTAAGAGGAGGAAATGTTTCTTTTCTAATCTTTGCACCTCTTGCCTACCACAGTGCCAGTGTACATAGTAGGTACTTAATAAATGCTTGTTTATTGATGGGTTGATTTCATCTTTCATGTGACAGACCTCTCGATATTTTAGGAATGTGATTGTGCCCTCCCTATATGTTCTTTTCCAGGCTAAAACTGTTGTAGTTCCTTCTCTTAGTCCCTTCATATATGCATGAAGGGGAATTTGTATTTGCATACCTTCTGTGCCCTCCGTTTATCAGCTCGTTGATTTTGGTGATAGATTCGACTGAAGTTGGAGACGATCACAGGAACAGGCAGAGCAATGACTAAGACACCACTCAGGGAACAGATGGAACCAAAAATCTTTCCAGCGATGGTCTTTGGTACCATGTCACCATACCTAACAAAAAAAGAAAAACATGGGTAAGTGATTTTAAAAACCCAATACAAAATTGTCTTTGAAATATCAGAAGAAATAATGGTTAAAATTTGTTTACTGTTGTTAGCAGAATATCTTTTTCATAGGTATGGAATTTTAGAATTAAAAGGAACCTTAGCATTTTATACAAGTTTCCTATGTGCCCCTCTCCTCAATTTGATTCCATAGCATCAGAGCTATGAAGGGCCTTAAAAAAATCATCTAATCCAGTTTCCTCATTTTAGTGACTCACTCAAGGTCAGAGAGAGACTTAGTGGCGGAGATCGCACAAGAAAACTAGTTTCCAGAATTCCAGACCAATGCTTTCTGTGTTGTGTCAGGTTTCTGCTGATCTATTAACAGCTCATGGCTTCATCATAGACCATTTTTGATTTTAATTAATAGCCATAAAATATGCAGATACAAATATCAACATTTATATTCCAACCATGCAAAAACTTACTTTAAACTTTAGAGATATCTTTGGTTGGAAAATACTCTAGGGCAAAAACAGAAAGGACAGTAGTACTTTCAATTATTAGTAGTAATACTCTTTAATTATTACTTTATCAAGATGATTTTTAAAAATAGTGCAATTGGTATTCTGTATTTTTTGTGCTAAATGTTACAATGTAAATAACATAAAATATTTCCATAATTGTTCTTTTCCAAATTGAGTAGGTTATAAAATTGAAATGGACTTTATAAACAAAAAGATAGTAGCCATGCCTCAGGAGATTGGCTACCAGACAACGATATTGTGTCTTATTTTCTTGGTCATAGCAAGCCAAAAGTACAAAATTGCCCTTCATGCTTTAGGACCCATTTCTACATCTATGGTGATGGTGGTAGAATATTGTAAAAGGGGTCAGAATATGAAAAATATCACATAAACAGGCTATTTAAATATATCCGTTTAACTCTTGGTTCTCTTAAAGTGTAAGGCAGTTTGATGGCCTATTGGAAAGATTGCTAGAGAGTTTCACTCCTGTTCCTGATACTAGCTGTGTGACCCTAGACAAATCATTTAACTTTTTTTGTGCCTCAGTTTCTTCATTTGTAAAATGAAGAAGTTGGGCTTGATGACCTCTAGGTTCCCTTTCAGGTGTGAGTCCATTATTGCTGCAAACTGACAAATTATTAAAGGACTTGGAACACATTCATATTGATTTTCCCATGAAAATTGCCACCAAGGATAAAGAAATTCAAGTGAATGGAAAAAGTGCCTCCACATTTTGAGAGGAAAATATGAGATCTTACTTTCCTTTCTTGTTAAATGGAAGAGGTTGGACTATAGGACTTATAAAGGACCCTTTAAGTCCCAATATTCTCTGAATTAGTTTGCTCATATTCCCAGAGGCATTAGGAAATACTAATTCATGAAATATTTATTCTTCTTCCAAAATAGCTCTCATTATGAGTATTAGGAGTAGAATTCGAAATTGATATTTCAAAATATTTTGTGGGCAATGAAGAAGTAGCAAAATGCTTTGAAGAACTTGACATAGTCCTACAAAGTAAATGGTTTATTTATCTTGATGGCTAGTGACTTCAAGGCAAAAGTCTGAAATGACTGAAAAATGACAAAAACTATTCTGAACATTTTGCTTAGAGATCAAGAAATGGAGCCAGCCAAAGGCTTATATATAGTCTAGTCAGAAGCTTCACAGTTGCACATCATAAAGATTTTCTTCTGGTCTAGAGCCTAAAAGTGTTGGATATGGTAAGCATCAAATGACATCATAAACTTGAAACTGATGTTATCTTAATAGAGAGAAAAAAAAAGAAAAGCATATAGGAATCACAGTCATTTGACCCATTGTGTGTATGTACATTTAGTTGGATGCCAGGCTAATTGGATCGAGTCAAAGTAAACACCAGATTAGAAGAAAAGCTACAGATGAGAAGACAGCAGCCCCAGTTCAACCTGGTCCTACTTTAATGGAGCTCCAATCTCATTGATGTAGGTACTTTCCCCACTAATATTGACCAAAGGAGTGTAGTGAGATTGAGATGCAATAGCTAACCTAAGAAATATATAAGAAAATGGATCTGGAACTGAAAGGACCTCAAAGGTCATCCTTTCCAGCCCCATCATTTTATACACAAGGAGACAGAAAGTCACACAGGTAAAAAGTGACAGAGATTGGATTCCATAGTTATTACTAGAACACAAGGAAAAGTCTCTAGTTTGTTGAGTGGATCCTCTTTGGAGGATTTATGGAATAATGTGGTCAAGAATTAGGCAGAAGGAGAAGGCATGAAGCACTTGGGATTTTATATTCTTGAGCTCAAAGTTCACTGCAGATGGTGACTGCAGCCATGAAATTAAAAGATGCTTGCTCCTTGGAAGGAAAGCTATAACAGATCTGGACAGCATACTAAAAAGCAGAGATATTGCTTTGCCAACAAAAGTCCATACTGTCAGAGCTATGGTTTTTCCAGTAGCAGTGTATGGCTTTGAGAGCTGAACTATAAGGAAAGCTGAGCAGCTCAGAATTGATGCTTTAGAATTGTGGTGCTGGAGAAGACTTTTGAGAGTCTGTTGGAGAGCAAGGAGATCAGATCAGCAAAAAATTAAAGAAATTATCTCAGGCTTTTCACTGGAAGGCCAAATACTGAAGTTGAAGCTTAAATACTTTAGCCACATAATGAGAAGATGGGAATTATTGGAAAAGACCCTGCTGTAGGGAAAAATTGAAGGCAAAAGGAAAAGGGGATAGTAGAGAATGAGATGGGTAGATAGTATCATGGAAACAATGAAAATGAACTTAGACTTCAAGAGACAGTGGATGATAGAAGGGCTGGGAGAGCTATGGTCCATGGGGTCATGAAGAGTCAGACATGATTGAACAACGAGGAGGACTTGGGACCTGCACAGCTGAGGGAATAGAGGATTTGGACTTTTCAACTGTATCTTAATACTGTCCCCAGGGAGTGATAGCAATGTCAGAATTAGGCTCTGAGAACAAGTAAGACACATTAAAGAAAGGCAAGATAAACACCTGAGGAATCCAGAAAAAGGACTTCTAGGAGATATGTTACCCAATCAGCAGATGAGCTCTAAGCTTGGGCCCATTTTACCTTGGATTGTACATGTACTGTTGGGAGAGTGTGTCACAGATTTGGGGGAAATGTTTTTGACCAACATTTTCTTTATAATAGTTATATATGCATGGTTAATTGATATCCACTGAGAATTATGGGGGAAAGTACACCAGTAGGGGCTTGTGAGGTAAAGTATTAAATAATTATGCCCAACTTCTCAGGGTTACCACTAGAACCCTGAGCGGGAGATGTAATAACATCTGGGAACTGACTTGCTAGTCTGAGTGTGGGTTGGACTGTAAATCAATAATCTGGGACAATTTACTGTTGCCTTAGTTGGTACATGACACAACTCTCACTTAGTTCTGGTGCACTTTCATACAGATACATACACTTAACATGTAAACAGGGCAATGTGGAGGCAGGGACTAATTGTTATTATAACACTCTCTTCCTCCTTTTACACATTACACCCCTGTTCTTTCATAATATTTCCTTCTCTTTAAAGGCAGTGTTGATATTCATTTTAAACATCTCATCTGTTAACAAATTGGTAGTTGGAGATGTGGGGTCCCCAGTATGATTTGCACCAGGCCTTGGACTTCCTTAGGAAAGAGACAGCATGGTATGATTAAAGGAACACTGGATTTGGAGCCAGAGGCCTTGGGTATAGATTTTCTCTCTGTGTTATTTGTGGGAAGTCATTTACCTCTTTGAGCTTTAGTTTTGCTGTCTGTAAAATAAAGGAGTGTACTACAAGTATTCCATGCTCACTTTTAGCTCTAAATCTATGATATTATGATGGCTTTGGGTAGTGGCAGTAAAAGTTAATTTGAGATCCAGTGAAGACAGTACTTAGCACAGTGCCTGACACATAGCAGGCATTTAATAAATGTGTGCTGATTGATTGATTGATCCAGTGACAGATGAGACAGGATCCTGCTCAGGGGAAGGGTAGTAGGTAGGGCTACCTCATTTAGTTATGCCATGGGGAGGGGGGTGGGTCCTTGCTTTTGTTTTTTGTTTTTTGTTTTTTTTTGGTTAGGCAATGGGGTTATGTGACTTGCCTGGGGTCACACAGCTAGTAAGTGTTATGTGTCTGAGGTTGGATTTGAACTCAGGTCCTCCTGAATCCAGGGCCAGTGCTCTATCCACTGTGCCACCTGGCTGCCCTGGAGGTCCTTGCTTTGGCTCACCAAATTAACTATTCACTAGAGACCTCATCTATATTTTCTTTCCTACAGAAAAGTAAAATATCTTTATGATGAAAAAATATAATTTTCTTCAGTACCAAATGAAGAGATATCTTAGGATACAAAGATTTTTAACTACCAATATTTATGCATTTGACAACTTTTGAAATTTATAGATATCGCCTCCAAGACTGCCTGCTTTTAAATGATGATCTTTTTCTGTCCTTGTCAAAACTGCTTATATAAGTTTGGCTCCTCATAGTTTGTTCCCTGTAGTCTGTGTTCTTAAATTTTATGCTAAGTGTAGCAGTATTATAAATTCTATTTTTCCTGCTGTCCTTCAGATTCTTGATCTTATGCAGTTAGTCTAATCTAAAATTCCTTAAAAAAAACTCCTAGAAGAAGTTATACGTTATTTTTATTTAAGACTTGATCCATGGAACATGTAGGGGCCCTAGGGTCTTACACAAAAGAAATATTTAACTTAATAGAAAAAATAAATTACCCTTTATAGAGAAAAAAATTAAAAAGAATTTTAGCCATGTGTTGAGGTGTTTTTTTTAAAAATAAATTAGAGATGAGAATTATACTTCTTTGGGAAAATATCTTTTCACCCATCATCTTCATCTCTTTTCTTCCCTGTCTTTCTCCTATTCTCACCAGTTTTGAAATAGCAGTGAAATTAAATCATTATTTCCTTGATCCTTATCCACTGTGGACTCCTGTTATATCTGCCCTTTT